CAGTTTCTAACAGCACTGAGATAGAACTGCTGACTCTTCCCACAATTGTATTCTGCAGTCCCCTACAGTAATATTACATTAAAGTATACTTTTACAAGTGGAGCCTTTATGTGCAAGCCTTTAATGTGCACTTTACCTAGATAGGGCTAAATGCATACTATCTCTCTCTCTCTCTCTCTCTCTCTCTCTCTCTCTCTTTCTCTCTCTCTCTCTTTCTCTCTCTCTGCCCTCTAATCTTCATAACAGATGAGTTTTAGGAGAAAAATGGCTAAGAATGCTTTTTTCAAGCATGTAGGTGCATATTTATTGCCATTTTGGAGCCAAATGCAATAATTTGGGGATTAATAGTTTAAAAACCTAACAGTTGTTGGTGCCAATAGGCTAGTGGTTAGTGCATTGACACATAGCACAGAAGTAATAAATGTGAGCTGAGTTTAATCCCCGGCTCAAGGTCCTTTGTCTGATTTTTGATCCCTCTCTCTGTTCCACAGTTCCTTCCTGTCTCCTCTATACACTGTCCTATAAAAAAAATAAAGTTTAAAAACCCCTACAAAATTATTATTAAAAAAACATATTAGTCAAAAACATATCTCAACATTAGAAAGGGATGTTTCTGTGCATTTATAGTCAACTTATTTCTGTAGAGTATCGATTAGTTGCCATAGCATTTGGAAGACAGAAATTTTTGTACATTAGACTGCATCTGGTGCAGGCCCAGATGGAGAGCTGAGAAAAGAACTGAGACTACCACAGTGTTATTGGCAGCCAGACCATTAATCTAATTAATCAGAATTTTTCACTGACACACATTAAGGGTAATTAGTGTACTTGTAAATGCATGTAAAAAAAAATAATATAAATGCCAGGCCAGTAGTTTGGGATGTCACTTTGTAAATAAACACAAGACATCTGCACACATATGTATTCGTCTATGCATAAATGCAGTACGTGCTCTGTTGACAAAACTAGTATAAAAACTACAGCTAGAAGAGTAAGATTCAGGTTGACAAAACCAGTCAAATCCAACTTCGTTGAATTGTCTTACAACGCTTGATTTAGAGTTTGGGTTTAATCCAGAGTTTGAGATTAACTCTGGATGGAATCCACCTAAAAGTGTGACATGTGCAGCTATTAACCAATCACAAGAGACATGCGAAGGTAACTTTTAATTATTTCGCATAAGAGTCACTTCTGTTGAATATTAAGACTACTTTTCACAAACTTTATTGTTACTAAAAAAATTATTTAATGTAGGTTCACAAACAGCTCAGAACATTCAAGTCATTTTAAAACCTTTATATTCATTCATTCAATCATTCATTCATTCATTCATTCATTTTCTTTCCGGCTTAGTCCCTTTGTTAATTAGGGGTCACCACAGTGGAAAGAAACGCCAACTTATCTAGCATATGTTTTACGCATGGATGCCCTTCCAGCTACAACTCATCACTGGCAAACACCCATACACTCTCATTCACACACATAAACTACAGACAATTAAGCTTACCCAATTCACCTATAGTGCATGTCTTTGGACTTGTGGGGGAAACCGGAGCACTAAGAGGAAACCCACATGAACACAGGGAGAACATGCAAACTGCACACAGAAATGTCAACTAACCCAGTCGAGGTTCGAACCAGCGACCTTCTTGCTGTGAGCCAATCGTGCTACACACTGTGCCTCTGTGATGCCCAAAACGTTTATATATTTTTTAAAAACTATATCTGAATATTTCAATGAAAATTCTAATTGAAATGAATGATTGTTAATTGCAATACAGAAATACTTGAATATACAGTATAATATTTAAATATAATGTATAAATATTTAAAAAATCATTAGCGGATTGGGAGTAGCTTTATTGCATTATATAAATAAATGTCAGTTTTCTCACAACCTGTAATCTCTAATGCAGAATAAACCACCTCTGGGGCAGGTTAGCCATGTAGAGTCAATAACCATCATGATGAACCTGATAAAAAGCAGCCAACTATCTTGAGCCTAAATAAATCAAACTAAACATGAACTTACATAAGTAAAAACCCAAACAAGCTTTGTACAAGACACCTTTGTAGTCCGCCATTGTTATTTCTATTGTGAAATATTTACAAGTGCCTAAAGACTGAGCAAAAATCCTTTTTAGGATGTCATTTCTCTCACCGATAATCTTTTAAACATCTCTCGGGCATGCAAGTGCAGCTCCTATCTCTTTGAATTGGGAGACATTAAATTCGCCATTACTGTTTGCCAAGCTTATGATTAAATGTAAAAATGGGAATCAACAAAGTAATTTTACAACAGCTGTCTCTTAAACTTCGTTTCTAAATGTTGGAATTATACAAAAAAAAAAAAAAACTATATCCAGATCTGATCGAAAATTGGGCCTGATCACATGGTTTCAGACTCGATTGGAATCGGATGCTACCTCCCGATCAGGAATCAAATTTATATATATATATATATATATATATATATATATATATATATATATATATATATATATATATATATATATATATATATATATATATATATATATATATATATATATATATATATATATATATATTATTAGTATAATTAATATAATATAATATATATATAACTAATATAAATTATTAGACCGTTTGTTTATTTTCCCCCAAATTTCTGTTTAACTGAGGGAAGATTTTTTTTTCAACACATTTCTAAACATAATAGTTTTATTAACTCATTTTAATAATAGATTTATTTTGTCTTTGCCATGATGACAGTAAATAATATTTTACTAGATATTTATCATGACACTTCTATACAGCTTAAAATGACATCTACAGGCTTAACTAGGTTAATTAGGTTAACAAGACAGGTTAGGGTTATAATAGGGTATAAGTTACTGTATAATGATGGTTGGTTCTGTAGACAGTCGAGAAAAAATATAGCTTAAATTTATGTTTATATTATTTATTACTTGATTGTACAAGTTATCTGGCCTAGTTGTTGAATGTTAAAATAAGATCAATTAAAATAAAAAATAAGGAAGATCCTGGATCTATTTCTTTTTATGTATTAAGTATCGCATAGGGTTTCGGTAGATACTCAAAATCAAATGACTCGGGACATCTCTACAAAAAACTAAATTTTTTTTCAGGTTACCCAAGCTAATGTGCGGGCACACCCAAAGGTAACGAGATCACAACACCAGCCACCTTTATGGTTTCTGGAGGATGCAATCAGATGTCATCTTTTCAGTCAAACTATGTAACTACTGTAAGAATCATTAACTTACATGTTACACATTATAATCATTATAATCATATAATCACATTATAGTCCCCTTATTAATCTGGGGTTGCCAAAGCGGAACAAACCACCAACTTATCCAGCAAGTTTTTTTACGCAGCGGATGCCCTTCCAGCAGCAATCCATCTGGGAAACATCCACACACACTCATACACTACGGACAATCCAGCCTACCCAATTCACCTGTACCACATGTCTTTGGACTGTGGGGGAAACCGGAGCACCCGGAGGAAACCCACATGAAGGCAGGGAGATGCAAACTCCACACAGAAATGCCAACTGAGCCAAGGTTCAAACCAGCAACCCAGCAACCTTCTTGCTGTGAGGCGAACGTGCTACCCACTGCGCCACTGCCTCGCCCCTATCATGGAATTTTAAACGGTTTATTTCAGACATTCAAAGTCAGGGAATTCTATCCACTTTTGTCCAAGCAATGGAATATGAAGGATTTCTGTTTGTCAATTCAATTTTTACTTTACATTTCTCAAAAAATTTTTTTGTTTGTTTTATGTTTTATTATCGGCAGCAAGGTGGCGCAGTGGGTAGCACAATCGCCTTACAGCAAAAAGGTCGCTGGTTCGAGCCCCAGCTGGGTCAGTCGGCATTTCTGTCTGGAGTTTGCATGTTCTCCCTGTGTTTGCGTGGGTTTCCTCCTGGTGCTCCAGTTTCCCCCACAGTCCAAAGACATGTGGTACAGGTGAATTGAATAAGCTGAATTCCCCGTAGTGTTTGTGTGTGCAAGAGTGTGTGGGTGTTTCCAAGTGTTGGGTTGTGGCTGCGTAAAACATGTGCTGGATAAGTTGGTTACTTAAGGTTAAACTTAAGGTTAAATTATGCACAATTTGATTGAATTTGCTTTAAATTTGTTTTGGCATAGGAACCATATAATAAATGTTCAGAAACTGCTGTAAAGAACACACATCTGGACCAAGCACCTCCCTGGAAGAATCATCAGTTTATAGCAATCTATGATTGACTCCTTTATTAAAAGATGGAGCTCCTTTTATAGAGAGGCCATGTAGACTGATTCTGCATTCAAAACTACACAAGTGACATATTATTTGTATTCTATGTTCTTTGATAAAGGTATGCACATAATGTCACAGTTTGTGTCACAAATATTCTGCAGACAATGATTTCCTTTTCAAAAACTTGTCATTTCAAACTCATTTTCAAAGTTTTTTTTTTAGGCCCACAAAATGCATGAAAAAAATGTAGGCCTAAATGTCATAAATCTTACATTTTCAAAGCATAACCTTTTTAGCATAATAAAATATTAAAGAGTATTGATGCCCCTGTTACAGAAGTGGCATTCACAAAAGTATAGAACTGACAGGAGAGTGCATCCAAGCGACTTAACAACAGGCAAACAAAGTTTGTATTTCTGAATTTAAAGTAGGCCTATTTATAAAACAGTTGATGAAAAATACCTGTAAAACCTACTGATCCTAATAATTCTAAAATTCTGAAGTGTGCATCTGATAGACTGTGTACTATCATACAAAGTACTATTTATACTTTATCTTGCCTAAATACTCTGATGAAGGATTTAAAAATGTAGAGATGGTGCAAATTTTTGATGATGCATATTTTTATGGTTAGGAGGAAAATGTATGCTTGTTTTTACTGGAATAATGTGAGTTTGCTACATTATAATAGGCCAGGGAGTGAGCAATAAGTCAATTGTGATTTGATGCATCAATAGAGTGTCACTCACATGCGTTCCATCACCATCAGTCTTTGTTAGAGTACCCAAGTGCCCGTGCGGCAACTCCTCCTCCGCGTCAGTCCGCTGCAGCAGGCGCTGAGGCAGCGCGTGCTCCACCGTGTACGCGTTCTCACGTCCCCATTCCGCTCCGTCCCGCTTGGTGCTGCTGCCCCAGGCTTTCAAAATAGGACATAATGGTAAAAACTCTTAAGACAACCGCCAAAGCCAGGATTCCGTGTATAAATAATTCCTATGTGTTTACAGCCATCTATCTAGCCTGCGGCATCATTGCGTATTCTGGCGCGACAGAAAATTGCCCGTGCCCGTGACAGAAAACGGGGCCATTCGTAAAACGAAAAATTCGCTGCACCTGTTGGCGCATATTACATATAAATAGCTACAAAGATGGAGCTTAATATCACAAACCCACTCTTTACGCGGCGTGCGTCGCTCACCTGTCACGGCGAGTCGCGCGATGACCGCAGCCCACAGGAGGAGGCAGCGCTTCGCCAACATGATCACATACTCCTGCGGCTTCAGCTGGAGCGAAAAGATGTGAAACGCGACATTCACCGCCTCATCCTGCTCCACGGCGATGTTGAAGTCACGAGGAAGACGTTAAATGCATCCGTAGAAAACACAAAGACGCTGATGATGGGTAAGACTTTTGGAAAGTGTCCGCGATGTCTCCTTATATCGCTCGTGTTGTCGTTCAGAGATTGCGGGTGGAATTCATGTTGGGATTGAAACGCTCCTTCTGCGGGACTCCCACCCTCCTCCCACTCTCCTCTTCTCCTCCCCTTCACTTCTCACACACCGCACTAACATGCAACATCAGAGGAACACTTCTGTAACCTGGAGCAAATATCTTGTTAAAAAAGGGCTACTATTGATATTTTACTGCAGTTACAGAAATGCAGCAATGACTGCATAACATAGCATATAGTCATATAATAAAAAATACATGAAATTGCATATTTTATTGTTGCATATTATTTTATTCAAAATATAGCCAAGATTTATGTAGCTAATCATTACCATCATTGTTTTTAAATAAATGGATTTACAGTGAGATGTATGCGTGCGTGCGTGTGAGAGAGAGAACGAACCAACGTCATCTGAGAGATAAAAGCATATCAAATATTCTCATCTCAGCAATATCTCTCATGCTTAAGGACGGAATCGATCTGTACTAACCTTTAGTTATTTTCACACACCCATGATTTGCCTATCTGCAACCAACTAAATCAGTAAAATGGCACACTATTTGGAACATGGGATGCTGCAAAATTTTGAAGTAATTGAATTGTTCATGTTTTAAATAATTTGCATGAAAGCTCAGTCTAAATAATGAGTCAAAACTGGAAGGACAAATCTAGACTTATTGTGGGATACAGTATCAATTATGTAGTTCAAACTGGTTATCAAATGCATTTCAAACAATAATGTATTACCATAGTACAAGGATTTATTAAGTTTAATTCAGTATGTTACCCCTTAGAATTACTCAGCACTGTCTAATTATCCAACACTAATGAAAACTTTTTTTTTTTAATTATTCATTAAATTACAGTAGATATGATTAAGGCTTAATATAGGGATGATACATCTTATTTTGTTATCCTCATCCACACTTTTGTAAATCCCCATTTTTAAGTTATTTAAAGTGAAGATTTTTATGAAAACATTAAATGCAAGCAACTATTTCAACATTTTATATAACCTGTCACAAATTTCAGTGAAATGATCAGTCATTTAGTTTATCAAATATGTTTATCTAAAAAAATGACAGTATTTATGCCGAATTTTACTAATTTAAATACATAAAACATTTTTCGATAATACAAAATGTTGTTTGAATATTTATTTAAAATTCCTTAAACAATGGCAAGGTACAAATAACCTTAAATTTCTCTCTCTCTCTCAAACACACACACACAATTGTATATTTACAATTGTCAGCATATAGGAGTACACCCCAAATTTATCATCGAAATTAATATTTTATATAGGACGCTTTACAATATTATATTTGGTCATATACATTAGTTATCAGTGCTGAAGCAATAACAAAAATAAAAATATTAAGAAAATTAATAGTAGCCCAAATATATGTTGTAGGGAAAACATTAAATAAAAAACTTGAAACATTGCAAAAATCAAGAGAAACAAAAAGTATATACAAATTTTTAAAAATATTTTGCATGAATTTAAATGGAATGCCTTTCCATTTTTGAAAATGTTCTGTGACTAAAATATTATTTTATTAAAAATATATGTTTAATAAATCTGTTCAAATGCACCTATATTACCCATATTCACTGAGAATTGGATAAAAATATTCAGTTCCAAAATGGGCTGTTCTCATGCGGAGCACTGTGTATATGTGTGTGCATGTGGATGTATATATAAAAACTGTTATTGGACTGAAAGAGCCTTAATAATGAACACACAACAATAATTAAAAGAGTTTTTATTAAGAGGTTTGAAAACTACTTTATCTTTAACCCAAATATATTAATAAAATTTCAAAGCTGACCTGAAATTGTTTCAACCTAACATACATATAAAAATAAAGATGCAATGAACAAACGAAAGATCAACCTGAGAGTGAATATACATAATAAGAAATGTTTGGGGACAACTACAATGAATAATTCAAAGTTTATGTAATTTTGCACCGAAGTGTATCATTTTATCTCATTGTGATAAAAATCCATGCAATTCAATGCTGCTAATTAACATTTTGAATGAAATAACTTTTAATATACAAACTGCACAAATACTAAAACAATCACATGATTCACCATCACGATACATCAATGGCATATGCTTGACGTACTCTAATTAGAATGTCTTTAACAGAAATGTCACAGAAGTTGCCAAAAAACATTGACTGAATTCACATCATCAAAACTGACAACTGAACAACAGAGGTCATAAAATTACAACCTTTGCATGCAATCCAAAAAATCTTTAAATGGGATCTCACAGCAACTCAAAAGACCTTTAGAAGTCATAGGACATTTCTGTCTTCACATCCTGCAAGTTCTCCAAAACCACCACAGCATTGTTCTTCCATCAGCACTGCCTCTAAACTGGAGATAGGCCAGACACAGCACTTAAACTAATTGGATGATGCCCCTCCAGCAAAGCCTCATTAAATTCTCAATACCAGCACATGTTTCCGGATATTGCTGTTATAAAGTCATGGTCAACAAATAGGGCGATAGAGAGTGAAAAAAAAGGACATTAAAAAAAATAATAATAGGATGAAGGTCAATCGAAGATGGGATGCTTTCCAACAGTTATTAACACTATATTTACTTAATTTTGACAAACTAGAAAATAACACTGTGGAAGGGAATGTTTAGTACACTGATTCTTTATCCAGAAAAAAAAAAATAGAGTAGTCTTCACTAAATAAAACCTATGCAAAAAAGATTATTTACACATTGGTTGCAAAGAAGCATACAGAGGCCAACTTCTATAAATAAATGTACTACATGAAAACCACAAAACTTTACAACAATTCAATTAATAAGTCTTCATTCTCAAGTAATACCAGTAATAACCTTAATTTAATTGTAGAAGAAACAAGTAAAAAACTAGAACAAATGAGGAGAAATAGGAGCAGACTGAATTCATCAATAGTTGCAATCATCCTATTGTGGATTAGAGAAACATCAGTGCCAAAAACCTGAATCAAGATGGTTGCAGTATGGAGCACAACCGTGATGCGTAGCTTCCATCCTGCATGTCAGTGTGTGGTTTTTGTAATAACAGACCCATGTCATCTTTGTCAGATTTTGCCTGAAGTGGAACTGCATTCGCAAGCCATGACAAGAGGCCAGAGTCCCAATCTGACTCTGAAGAAGCCGGGGACCACGTGAGGTTAGGAACAAGAGCAGATTCAATGCAAACAGAGGCTCCGGAGTGTGCCACAAATGAGCTGCTTGCGACTTTACTGACTGATGCCTGAGAGTTATCTTCTGGTGTCTGGAAAAAAAACGGAAACAGTTCCGGAGGATCATTATATTGATGGCGCTGGAGCTTATTATCTTCATAGTAAAATGGAACTAGTTGAGGAAGATCCAATTCAGATGAGTGAGTGGTTACTCTGGATTCCACTGGATCTTCTGGAAATATCTTCCGCTCAACATGGTCACCAAGTTTACTAGTAGCATTGTCCTGTTGGCCGACCTGATTAGGCAAACAGTGGGTACTGGGAGAAGTAAAATACTTCTTCCGGGAATGCCATGTTTGAGTTTGATCTGCAAAGGAGATTTCATCTCCAGGTCTATTATTCATCTTTGTTGTAAAATCAACCTTGGAGACTGCCAATGCCAAGGCGGAAGGTACAGATGATCTTTTACAGGGAGTACTGCAGTCCCATGATGGGTTTTGCATTCCATTGTGGCAAATTTTTCTTCTTTTGGCAAGTTTTGGACTTTGAGTAAAGGACCTGTCACGTTTCTTTTTGTTAACTTTGGGGAAGGGAGAATCCGACAAGTGTGGAAATGGTAGAAAACAGGATAACGGAAAGTAAGTCATGCCAAATTCTGGAGATCTAACAATGCCTTGCAGGTATTTTTTTGTTGAAAGTAACAATCTGTGATCAAACTCAAACTGTCCACATCTTTGCAAATTGCCATCTTTCTCTCCTTGGAGTAGTATTTTAGGGCTGTTTAAGCACATACTTAAACCTTGATTCCAAACCAGTTTTTGAGAAAAGACTGTGTTGGAACAAGCACCTTCAAGATTCCTTGGCATATGACATACAAGGTGGCCATGAGCAACTTCAGACTGATTCTGATTTTCAGGGTCATATTCTCCACCAGAAGTGGTACATGGAATTTTGGAGCACAGGGTGAGCATGTTTAACTTAGCTTCTGAGGATGTGAGAGAAGAGAAGCTCTTGGGATTCTTATCTATAGAAGACACGCTATGTTGGATCAGATCCATGCATAGAACATCAGGCTGAAATTCATTGACCTTTGTGGTGCAGGTGAAGTAAACACCTGCTTTGTCATGGTCAAAAGCATCAGGACAGTTATTTTGCATTGGATAAAGATGTGAGGTTGTGTTTTGATGATGGGTTGAAAAACTAGATAGGCTCTGGATAGGCTTAGGAGAGTTTTCTGTTTTGTCTAAAGTTGGAGTAAATAGTTCAGTAATTGATGGTAGATGACCACAATCTCGAACCAGTGGAGTCTGCAAGAATTCTTCATTGTCACTGACAGTATTTTGCACCATCTCAGTTAGATGGTTCAAATGTAATGGTGAAAGTCCTGCAGATGACCTGACAGAAATGAGAAAACAGAGTGTAAGAAGACTATTTAATGTCATACTATCAGCGAAATTCAAAATATCACATGAACCATGACCAATCAAAAAATGTTAAGTAATTATGTGTAAAACAGGCCCTTACTTCATTAAAGTTGGATCCACTTCTTCATTTGGAATACAAACAAAGTTAGCATTCATGGTAGCGGTTAGTTGGTCCACCTCAGTATAGTTACTGTCCTTTTGAACAAAAGAACGATGCATCTCGGATTCCAAGTGCTAAATATCAAAAAGAGAATTTGCCATCTTAAAATCAAATTAGGTGTTAAGCAAGTTTCAAAATGAATTCCAATGCCTCCATCTCATAATAACCTTTCAGGTATTACTTGTTTTTCCAAACAGACTAACCTCATGCTGGTCCTTGAAGGCTACGTGGCAGCACTCACAATAGCCTGAACTTTTCTTTGTTGGGCCTCTAAGTGTGGCGCTTGCTGTTAGTGGCACCTGTAACCTATGGCAGCTGCTAGTGGGTTCTTTCTTCTTCCTGTACAACAAATAAATTAAATTAAAAATATTAATTTAAGTTAGAACGTAGTAGGGCTGGGCGATATAGCCAAAATTTAATCTTGATACTTATTTGCCATATTAAACAATTACGATATACATTTCATTATTGATATACATTTCAATGTTAGTGCTTCCAGATTTAAAAAGACTACCCCAACAATGATTGAAGCCACGAAAATTTTAGGGTCCATTAAATAGCACAACATATTTTCAGCTAATAAATTTTCAGTGGCAAAAAATTCAGTACATCTCCAATATTAACACACTATTAGATTACAATTGTTGCACATTTCTGATGTGTGATTGGTTTTTGGATTAATATACAGAGTGGAAACAAAGTCCAGAGCTTATCATTGTTATTGACATAAATTCATCACGATTCAATTTAATATTGTTTATCCACCCAGCCCTATAATGTAGATTAGATGATCACCTTCAACAAAATGTGAAAAACATACCCAAAATGATCCTTGCTTGGATTTTCATCCTTGCTTCTATCAGTCTTCTGAGGAATTCTGAGGAGCTCAAATGGGCTACATTTTCCAGAGTAACTCATTGATGGAAAATTTAGAGTCTGTGCGTAGTATGGTCTAAATTTCCTGTTAATAAAAAAGACATCACGACTTTTTTTATATGTAGCCTTCTCAAATCTTTTCACAATAGAAAAATCTTACAGACATGTGACAAACATGAAGTTTTGGTTCAATAACAACACTGATCTAAGCAATCTATTCAACCATCCAACTCTGATTGGAGATTGTGACTTGACTTATGTTTTTACATTTTTTCTGTACCTCAGAATTTTGTTTTGCATGTTGGTTTATATAATCAAGTCTCAAAATGCAAACAAATTAGTCATTATAGGCCATGTTTAAAATATATGAGCATAACCGGTAAATGAATCAATTTTTTTATTTTTATTTTTTTTATAATAAGTAAAATTATTGTAATTTATATGGAACTATAAGTTAGCAGTTGTAATAACATGTGGAGTAAAATTATCATGACAGTTTTTCATTTACAACATATGCTTTACAAAGTAAAATTCCTCTTGAAATTCAATATTTTTTGCTGGTGCAAAATATATAAAAATATAACTTTACAGTATAATTTATAATACTACCTTACTCACACATAGGTGATGCCTAAACACCCATACCCACCAAGACCTAATGTTTATGAGATCAATTTCAGATGGCAGCACTAAACAGCTTGAAAACACAATAGTTCTTTTCATTAGCCAAGAGCTGCCCTGATCCTCAGCAGGGGATGGAAGGGATACTTTTCAGGCAGGTCTCAGGGTAGCCGCTTGAATGCAGGATGCATTTTGATAATTAACTTTTCTAAAACAACTACAGTGACCTTGGCTGAAACATTAGCCTTATTAATGAGACAGGTGAATAAAAATATTCTTAAAATGAAAATGGTTTGGGAACACAAATGTGCTTTTTAAGACAAAAAAATACTAATAATTGATAGTATCTGAATAAAGAAAATGGTATACTTTATTTTGATTGTCCTCTTTAGGCTTTCTGTATATACCCTATATGCAGGAATCTTACAGATAATTTCAATAACTTTTTAAGTCTTTTTATACCTTCTCAGAATATTTTAAGACCTCATCACCACTTCAAGTTCTAATCACTATCAGACCTTTAACTTAATAAACAGTTGTTAACAAACTGTTGAAGTAAAATAATTCAATGGATCACAACCATGCAACAGAAAGAATAAATTACACGAAAAAATTAAATTAGGCTTCAGCCACTGTTTAAGTTCATCTTTCTCCAAACAGGAGTACACAAACTTACATTTACCCATTTTGCCATTTGTTTCACTCTATATTTCACTCAAATTACGTGACATCACGCAGATGGAGGAGCTTGGCGGACGAGCACCGGCCTGAACCAATCACATGGAACGAGCACACCATTGTTAATATTAGGAGGGGGAAAAAAATTATATAAAAGTTTTTTTGGAGTCAAACACCTTTGACTAAGCTTGAACAAATATAGGACCTCGTAAAAACGTTATTAAAACTTTTTAATACTTTAATACTATTTTATTTATCAACTTTTAATACTTTAAGGCCTATAATATTACTAATATTTAAAGAGAGGGTTAACCAGCAATTAGAGGTTAAACAAATACATTTACTTAAAGATTCTTGTAGAATTTCTGTTTCAATGATGACCATTGAAAAGAATTATTAGAACTTAAGCAGGCAGTCTGCTTTAGTTGACCAGTTATCATGTAGTTGTGAAGTTACTTACTGTAAAGCCAGCACAATCAAAATAAAGCAGTAAAAGACAATCAAAATAACCTGATAATAAACTAAATTTAAACACTGGCTATTTCTGTAGTTTACTAAACCTTGGTGAGATTTATGATGTGCATTTTGGTTAAATATTCAAACCAGAATAAAGTACACAACAGCACTATAATGTGCATTATAAAAACTCTTAAAACAGGGAACCCACTTATTTAATTAAACAGAAACTGGCTATTTCTGCAGTTTAATATACCTTGGTATGATTTGTGATCTGCATTTGGTAAAATATTCACACCAAAATAAATTACATAACAGCACTATAACAAGCAGTGCAATATACAGCACTACACATTACATTGACTGTTCATTGTATTAGTTCCAAAGTGTAAAAAAAAGCAGTTAAATAATTAAATTAAATGAAAGTAGTTAAATTAAAAACAAGTATGCATAGTTTCAACTGAATAGAAAGTAGAGTTGCTATACTTACCGACTGCAGTCTTCCACTTTCAGATAAGGACTCTTCAAAACACCAGCTGTTTGAACACACATTAGTATTAAAATGTCTTCAAATGAGATCCCACTCGACACCAAAGTTTCTCAGATACAGAGGTATGCAAAAACAAATTACAGAACAACTAAAACAAGTATAGAATAATATACTTCACAAACCTTTCACTTGAGGAGCTATTTGTTTGCTTCTTTTTTTCTGTTTGGAAAATGTTTGAAATGTTAATCTTTTTAACCAAAACTAAATTCACAGTTAAAAAAAAATAAGTACAATAAATTACCTTGGCTGTTCTCATTTTCTGATCGAGATGGCTGATAATCTTGAGAAAACCTGTCATTTATTTTAAGAAAAAACAAAACATAAACAGTAAAATACCAAGATTATGATCTGTATTAACCATAACCTATTTAAATAAAGTGGCATAAAGAACATACAATGAGTACATATTAATATCCCATCTTCAAAATTAAACTGTACCTAGGGTGCTCTCTAGTGTAGATTTCTAGTAAGTCAGCAAGATGGTATGATAAACTACACTATGTTGTAGTTTTGATTTTAGACTGCATTTTACATTTTCTATACTTGCTGTAACAATGTGCAGTGCAGAATAAGAGTTTGAGTTAATGATAAAAAAATGTAAAATTGTTGTAATCTTCAAATTTAAATGTTTTATAAAACAATCATTGTGCTCACATCTGACTTTGAATCCAACATTTCCATCAGCAAATGTAGTCACACTGCAAACATGATTGACTTTACACTATGCTTGTGTAACAAGTGTTCATTGGACCATCTCTTTATGGCATGTATTCTTTTTTCATCTGAGGTTTAGCAGATCATAAATTTTGTAATTTCTTAAGTTCATGTCGTTAATTTTATTATTTACTCCAGTTGTAAAATCAATGAAAATTCTTTGCATAGAAAAGAAGAATTGTTTATTAATAAATGACCATTTTTCACCATCTCTGAACAACTGACTGAAATGTGGTATTAGAGCTGCTTCTGCTTTAAAGACTATAAAAGTCAAATTTTCTGATTTTGCATTCTAAATCCATCAACAATTAAAGTTAATTAAGCTTCTGTATCTGCTTAAATCCGATCAAACGATTGACTGTAAACTATGTTTATTACAGATTTATTTTTTGTAGTTATTGGTGACCTCTGACAATAATTTTATGTAATATCTGCATTGATTCTATGGAAATGTTATGAAAAAAAAAACATTCACATAATGATATTTCAAAACACTAAGCAAGCAAGGCACTAATTACAACCCCCAAATCAGGAAAATTTGGGACAGAATTAAAAACACAGTATAAAAAATGCTAATAAATAAAGAAAGTAGTGATTTCTAAATTTACTTTGACTTGCATTTCATTGCAGACAAACGACCAACATTATTTAATGAGTTCCTCATGATTTTTTTTGTTTTATTTTATTTTATTTCAAAATTAACACATATTCCAAATTTAGTTATTGCAACATATTTCAAAAAAGGGACAGGAGCAATTTAGAGCTAGTAATCAGGTTAACTGGTTATATAATTATGCGATTTCAAACTATTTTGATTGTAATTATGATTTGGTATAAAAGTAGCATCCAAGAAAGATATAGATCTTTATGGGCAAAGATGGGCAGAGGATTGCCAGTTTCCTAACAAATACATGAGAAAATGATTGAAATGTTAAAAAACAATGTTGCTCAAAGAAAGATAAGAAGACATATGGATGTTTGACCTTCAATAGTGCATAATATATTTAAAGGTGCAGAATGTAATTTTGACACCCTGTGGTTGAACTAGGTATCGCACTCATTTCCACTCCTCTGCTCCTAAAGGCCGATCTGAACAGTTTTCTAACTAAAAGCAATGGCACGTGATAGAAGAAATATTTTCCATACTAAAAGGAGTTTTTGTCCTAACCAACACCGGAAATTTATATTTTAGAATGGGCTTTTATTTCTTACAGTTGAACAATAGGATAAACTGATCAGCTCATGTACTTTATTCAGTGTTTAATGCTAATAATGCGAGTTTGAATGTCATTTTACGTGACATTTATTTCCATACTACTGAAAGCAGCAGCAGATAGTTTACTTCAGATCTTGAAAATAAATCGTTTGAAATTGAACTTCAGAATTGTGACTAAGTGCAAGCCATTAAATATCCATCAATTATAATGTACTACATATAATGTTACATATAATGTAATTACATATAATGTTAAAGATGTTTAATATGCATTAATTAGATTGTAAACCTTACCATTTTTACTGGAGTGCAGTGAAGTATTCTGTTCTTCTGAATGGCTGTATTTAAATTTCTATCGTGTTTCGTCTCATGCACATAGCCAAATTGCTATCACTGCAAATCTCGTCATGTAGCATGTTGTTAAGACACAGGGTTACAATGTAACCTGTTATCCTAACGTTTAAGTTTGTAATATTTAATTATTTGCTAATTAATAACCACCTCATGTTGAACTCTAAATCTGCGTCTCAATTTGGGGCTGATACTATCCACTGGAGTTTGCTTTTTCGGTCGCGAACACATGCTTTGAGAGCCTTCCTGACTGAAAGAATCAAATACACTACAGTGGCAGTGGGTGGGTTAAAAGAACAAACAGCCATTCCGTCTCATAACTCACACTTTAAAAGCAGAATAACTGACTTTAGCATTGATTTTCAGATAAACAGAAATGTTTACTTAGCAACTTTCTGGAATATCTACGAACATATTATGGATTTTTTATGCTTTAAAAAAGTCAAAAACTTACGAACAGTACCTTTAAAAGATTCAAGGAATCTGGAGAAACTTAAGTGTGGTTTATTCATAAACTAATTTCGAGAGGATCACGTGCTTATAATCAACACGGCTGGCTCCTTGTTAGCTCCGTAATCAGCCCTATTAGATGATTACGGAAGCATTATAAATAACCTGAGTTTTTCACTCCAGTTATCTTCATCTTGAAGCCCCCCCCCCCCCCCTTTTCACCCCTACATCCTCCCACTTTTTCTGATCAGACGACACGGTGGCCCAGTGGCTAGCACTGTTGCCTCACAGCAAGAACACCGCCAGTCCAACGCATCGGGCCGGTTGGTGTTTCTGTGTGGAGTTTGCATGTTCTCCCCGTGTTCACGTGGGTTTTCCCCGGTTTCCTCCCACCGTCCAAAAACATAAACCATAGCCAATCGACTAAAACAAATTATCACCCAATACAACCTGAGTTTACACTTCTCACGGTGACAAGCAGGGGAGCTCTCGAGACCTACCTGACCTCGAATTCCCCTCTCGCCCTTCTAACGGGAGGGAGCCCCGGGCTCTAGGATATTACGAGCTCAGGGCTCTCTCCCGGGACAGCATGCCAAATACGCTTTATTGATTATGAGCTAAGTGTGAACTCTTGAAATGTATAAAGGACAAGGGCGCAAGCCTAAGCTGAACAACCATGATCCCGATACCTCAGGTGGCACTGCAACAAGAATCGTCATTCATCTATAAACAATATCACCACATGGGCTCAGGACTACTTTGACAAACCTTTGTCAAGTACCACAATACATTGTCACATCCACAAATGTCAGTGAAAACTGTACTATTCCAAAAGGAAGACATTTGTTTATGTGTCCAGACAAAATTAGAACTAAAACACTTCATCCCTTTGTGTCTGTAGTCCTTAAATGTCTTTTAATTGTTGTAAAAAAGAAATGGCAACATTACAAAGTGGTAAATGCTTTACTGTTAAAACTTTTTAAATGTTTTACTAAAATTGGAAGGTATTTATTTAAAAAAAACATAAAAATCACAGGGAACACATTAAATATTGTGCTGTTGTATTTTCTGCAAAGAAGTAACTTCTTTCTTTTTTATTTACATTTAACATACTGTCCCTTTTCCACTTTTTCTGATTTGGGGTTGTACTACAGAACAGTTCATCCAAAAATTTAAACTGAAAAACTGAGATCGCTTTGTAACCTCATGATTTTCCCAAACCATTTGACTTTCTTTAGTGTAATGAAAGTAAATAAAGATAGTAGATATCAAAATTTAAATAAAAAAACATCCTATGTGATTGGCATGTTTTATGTGATTGGCATGTTTTAGCAGGTAAATGAAAGGATACCATCTACATGGTAGACCTTGACTCCCAATGAGCGAGCATTAGCCAGCACACTGCTCTGACTCTTGTCCTGAAATAAAAATAAATAAAACACAGTAACCACAAAGAACATAATGGCAAAATGCATTCGTCAACATCAATAACAAAAGCGGGTTATTCAACTGAAAAAAAATATGAGAAAGCAAATCATATTTTAATGTTGTAGACGTGAAAGGCTTTTAATAGTTATAATTAATATACTCATAATTTTCTATGCAGGAAAATCCCTGATATACAAATGATTTCGAAACCGATAGTACACAAAGACAGATCATGATTGATATTATTAATTAGTGGTAACGTTTGAAGGCACCAAAATGTCAGTTTAGATAAATCTATTTTTCATTACACTCGCCATTATCCCTAACATGCCAACTGCATTTTACATGTTGGATTGCACTGCTGGTTAGGAGACATTCCCATTTCAAAAACTGATAGTTTTTTAGGTTGTGCTACACATAATCTTTATCTGTCAGATTGACTGAATGAGCAGTAAATTTTACTTCCTGTTTCCTTATCCTCATGTCTCTTTTTTCCTATTTTTATTGGTTTTTATCTCCCCAACATGGAAATAAATTCTAGGATATACATTACTTACTGCAGTGATATTAACACATATATTACTATGATTTAGTAAAAAAAAAAGTTGACAAAAGTACTAAGTGAGAGCATTAGAAAATTCTTCTATTTTCCTTTTTAGAATAAATGATACATTGTTATGACCAACAGTCAAATATGATGAGCACAAAAAACTGATCTTATTTGTTTTCTCAAATGACAACAGCACATGGAGTATAAAAATCGGACACAAATGTATGCATTTTCATTTATTTCATTAATGTTTTATATATTTTCAGCCAACTGATGAAAATGGCAAAAGATTCATTTTGAGACCATTGTAATAAAGTACAAAATTTAAAAAAAAAAGAAAAAGTTCTATGCAAAAATTCTTACATTGCTGTGGATGGCTTTTTCCAGTAACGCTTTTCCACGACTGCCACAAACCTTGGGTGAAGAGACATTCAAAGTCATTATTTGCATTTTATATAAATCAATATAATCATTACAATATACAGTCAATGGCCACTTTATTAGGGACACCTATCCAACTGCTCGTCAAAGCAAATATCTTATCAGCCAAGTTCAAAACAGCAACTCAATGCATTTAGGCAAGTGTACAGGGTCAAGACGATCTGTTGCAGTTGAACCGGAGCATCATAATGGGTAAGAAAGGTGATTTAAGGCACTTTAAACATGGCATGGCTGTTATGCCAGATGGGATGGTCTGAATATTTCAGAAACTGCTGATCTACTGGGATTTTTTTATGCACAACCATCTCTAGGGTTTACAGAGAATGATCCAAAAAAGCGAGCGGCAGTTCTGTGGGCGCAAATGCCTTGTTAATGTCAGAGATTAGAGAACAATGGCCAGGCTGGTTCGAGCTGATAGAAAAACAGGTACGCAGAAGAGCATCTTTGAACGCACAACACATCAAACCTTGAGGCGGATGGGCTACAGCAGCAAAAGATTACACCGGGTGCCACTCCTGTCAGCTAAGAATAGGAATCAGAGACTATAATTCACACAGGCACACCAAAATTGGACATAAAGATTGGAAAAACAATGCCTGGTCTGATGAGTCTTGATTTCTGCTGCGACATTCCAATGGTAGGGTCAGAATTTGGCATCAACAACATGAAAGCAAGGATCCATCATGCCTTGTATCAACAGTTCAGGCTGGTGGTGGTGTAATGGTGTGGGGGATATTTTCTTTGCCACATTTTAGGCTTATTAGTAACAATTGAGCATTGTGTCAATGACAGCCTACCTGATTATTGTTGCTGACCATGTCCATGCCTTTATGACCACTGTATACCCATCTTCTGATGGCTACTTCCAGCAGGATAAAGCGCCATGTCATAAAGTGCGAATAATCTCAGGCTGGTTTCTTGAAAATGACAATGAGTTCACTGTACTCAAATGGCCTCCACAGTCACCAGATTCAATCCAATAAAGCACCTTTGAGATGTGGTGGAACTGGAAATTTGCATCATGGATGTTTGCAGTTAAAAAATCTGCAGGCACTGCATGATGCTATCATGTCAATATGGACCAAAATCTCAAATGAATATTTCCAGTATCTTGTTAAATATATCCCTGAGTTGGCAAGGCAAAACGGGGTGCAACCCTGTACTAGTAAGGTTTACCTAATAAAGTGGCCATTGAGTGTAAATCATTATATATAATAATACAATTTTCTTAATATACCATTTCAATGCAGCCTTAAAGCAACCAGAGCCTTCATACACTCTATGAATATGACAAACACAAATGTGCTACGAAAAATACTGCATAAGGGACTCATTTATTTTGAATCAGCAAGCATCACCAGGGAGGCCTATCAGTAAACTTGGACAGTAACAAACCGAGCCATCCTTTATATATTAGACAAGAGCAAAAGTTGTGGATCACGATGGGTATATACCAGAGGTTTGGAAGTTCCAGATTGTTTTCTCCCTGTAGCACATGAACTATCCACAGGCAAATCATTATGAGCTTCTTTAATGCCTGTCACAACCACATTCACATCCTTAGTGAGGAAACTGTCCACCTTCTGTAACAAACAATTAACAAGCAGGATACAGTTATATATATTTGCAATTTTATTATGTAATTGAAAAAGAAAGATATTGTATATCTCTCACCCCTCCCAGACGGTTGATGATGTCAGTAAGTGTGACAGACTGATGTCTCTTTACATCATGCAGGTAGAAGGATTTGCCTCTCAAACCATTAGACACATTTCCAGACATTATTTTAACTGAAACTGAAAGATTTATGAGGATCAATTTATTAATACAATTATTATGGGTTGAAGAGCTAGACACTCAATTGGTTTTGTAGCTCAAAACTGATCAGGTAGCCCAAAAAGACCAAGACGTTTGGTCAACTAGAGGATTTAGGTTAAATGCATTTTAAGCAATAACTCTTCAATCTTATATGAAAAAATAAAGCTTCTTAAAAATTTTTAATTCTTGGTTCTCAAACCCAAGGGACAAGGGTTGTCAAGCTGGGATTGGGAGACTACCAGAAAATGCATGGTCCACAGACATGTTTGAATGAATTAAAAATAATACATAGAAAATTACATTTAATAAGTTTTACATTTTAAAAGTTTAAGTTTCAGGACTTCAGTTGGAATTCCTGAGTGGAGTCTGCATGTTCTCCCCGTGGTCGTGTGGGTTTTCTCCTCACAGTCTAAAGATATGTACTATATGTGAATTAAATAAACTAATTTTTATTCAAGTGCATGGGTGTTTCCCAGTACTGGGTTGCAGCTGGAAGGGCATCTGCTGTGTAAAACATATGCTGAATAAGTTGGCAGTTCATTCTGCTATGGTGATCCCTGATGAATAAAGGGGCTAAGCCGAAGGAAAATGAATGAACGAATAAAGTTTTAGGCCCTTTGCTGTTTACATTATACATGCTACCCCTACACTCAAAAAAAAAGATACTAACTGGATGAACTCAATTTAATTGAGGGCAGGATTTTCATCTAATAAACTTGTGTAGCACCAACTAAAAAACTATTTGCACAATTAAATGCAATTGAGTTGGTCAAACATGATTTTATCAAATCAAACACATTTGTGTTTTTATTTAACTTCAAGGTCTGATCACATCTTGTAAGTCAACAAAGTGTTTTACATTTAAAAGTCTCTTTATTAAATTTTATTTGAAGTTAAGCAAAATGAACTTAAAGAGCCATTCATTCATTTACCTTTGGCTTAGTCCCTTTCTTCAATAGTGGTCGCCACAGTGGAATGAACCGTCAATTTATCCAGCGCATGTTACACAGCAAATGCACTTCCAGCTGCAACCCATCACGGGCAAACACCCATACTCTCTCATTTACACTCTTATGCTAAGGCCAATTTCGTTTATTTAATTCACCTATAGCGCATGTCTTGAACTGTGTGGGAAACCGGAGCACCCAGAGGAAACCCACACAGAAATGCCAGCTGTCCCAGCTGGGACTCAAACCAGCAACCTTCTTGCTGTGGGGCGACAGTGCTAGCCACTGAGCCGCCGTGTCAGCCTAAAAGAGCCATTTTTAAGCATATTTCATGAGTTACATATACAGTTGATTGAGACTGATCTCAGAACTAATTTTTGGACAGTTATTGCTCACTGAGCAAAGCAACAAACTGCTGTTTTGTTAATTAAGCTGCCAACACCCAAAGCATGGGTGCTTCTTCTGCAAGATGGTAATCTCAAAACCCAAAGCATTACATGAAAAACTAAATCTTCAAACTAAACTTTAACAAGTCTTTATATTAACTTTAAACACCTAAGATTACTTTTATTGTCAAAATTTCTCTCTCTAAATTTAATCGTATGAAAGGCATGCTGGGAACTACAAATCCCCTAACCAGGTAGTTGAACCAACACAATTCCTTCATGTTGTCCCAACACAGAATGCCTAAGTTAGCTTAATGTTTTATCAATTTAAGTGGACTGAACATAAAACAAATAAATAAGCCAAAGCAATTACAAGAATTGTGTTGTTTCTGCTCATTTTAAACAGGTAGTTTAAACAAGCAGCAATAATTATTTTTGGAGAGTACCTTGGTGGGTTGATAACAAATCAGTGATTTCATTTTGGAATTTGGCAATCAAAGTTAATTTTTAATTTTCATTAAAGAAAAAAAAAACATTTAGCAGTTTTGACTGAGCTTGATTAACAGATTTATGCAAAGAAATAAAAAAATGTGATACATTTTTTTCAGCAATTTAATTTAGTGGATATTTTCACCCAAACATAACAAAAGGGACTGAGGTAAAGTTGGTTTTATATTCACACATTCATTCAGTGAGAACTTGTGATATGCTCTCTAATGTTTACCAAATATGTCAAAATAAGATTTGTCACCAAAAATCGTTCCACCAGTTAAAACACAGAAAAAGATATAGTTAAAGTTGGTTTTATATTCAGATATTCAGACATTCTCCTTAATATTATAATTTTAAAAAAGTATTCTTTGCAAATTCTAAATAGGGAAATCATATTAGCAGTTAATGACTATCAAAGTACAACATTGTTTACAGAGAATTAGACAGCGTTGATGTTGTTTAGAAGTCATACTTGCATGCTAATTCCGATATGTCAATATTCAAGGTAACATGGTAAACATTACAGAGACTGCTAAATGAACGAATGTGCGGATATAAAACCAACTTTAAGAAAAGGTTTTGGCCAAATTAAGACTCAAAATCACCCCAGTGTTAATGAAAACATCCCCAACCGTACATAAGTGTTTATTATTTTCTTTTAAAAATGGTTAGAAACTAAATATTTTTCCAGTTGATATTTAAGAATCACAAATAATATTTTCCTTGATGCCATATAGGTGCCTTGTACATTTGAAATGGCGTCTGTGGCCACTAAAACACTGAAAACCCTCATCACAGCATGCATATAAATGAATAGCGGATGTTTTAAAGCATATATGCTTGAATTGTAATTGAATTGTAATTGCTGTCAAAAATCACTCAGTGTTGGAAAATTATCTGAAAAAATGTCGTTCTAAGATTAAATTTATCATTAATTTGGAAGAATCAGATACAATTTGAACGTAATAATAAGAAACCTAATAGTAAGAATTCAGATCCACTTACATTGTAAATGACCCCTGCTTTTTAAATATGACACTTATAAATATTTTTATAAAGATAAGGGATTAAATTTAGTCAGCAAAGTCCATTAAAGGCAATAAAAAATGCATGTGACAAATGTCAGGTATTTTCCATGGTAACGTAAGAACTTCGTTAATTTCGACATATAGCCTACTATATTCTGCTTATTAATATATCATGATAGAAATGCTGTGCTCTCCTAACCATACCCTAAACTATATAGACCAAAAGGTTATTTTTCTTCTCTTTAACAGTTCGTCAACTTACGTTAATCAACGAAACAGAAACCACAAAACCTGCATCAAAAATACACGTTTTTGAAAATGTTTATCTTACCTTAATGTGCTTTGCTCATAAAGAATTTTAAAAGGCTTTTTTGGTATTTCAAAACATCTTCAAATTTGTTGTTTTCATGCGATAGTAACACCTCACGCAGTAAGCTTCTGTTATTTTTTTCAAACAGCCCTCCTGAATGTCTTCTTCCCTTCCTTTCTTTCTGCTGTTGCGAGCAACGTTACACATTACCGCCACCCACTGACATGTAGTGCCCCTGCAATAATTTCACTAGTAACGTTACAATTCTATCCATCTTTATTTCTATAGCGCTTTTACGATGTGTATTGTGTCAAAACAGCTTTACATTGAAGTTGTAGTAAACTAAAACTGTGTCAGTTCAGCTTTCACAGTTCAGTTTAGTTCAGTTCAGTGTCGTTTATTTTTACGGCTGCAACAGTAGTACAGTACTTTCAGCAACTAGCGTCAGTGTTACTTTGTCGTTTACATACAGCATGTCATTGGTAAGTAAGTAATTGTTCCGGAATTACTGAAGCACGATGTTGTTTTGTTAGTTTGCCAGCAAAGAGAACAGTTTTTTAATGTAATGATATGTTATATAATAATCAAATGTGTCTGTTTTACTGCATCTTCACATATGTTTGATTTGTTGTTTAGACATTACTGATTATTAAAAGGGTGTCTGTGATTCTGAACTAAATCCTACTCTAAAGATCCTCCACATTCTTCTTGTATGGGTTCAGGTATTCACATTTTGAGTATCCAAAAAAAGCTTGAATGTTTTATAATAATTACAATTGATTATTTATTATTATCATTTATCATGTTATTCTAATATCCTGTCATACAAATTTATTAAGCATTTATATGGGTTGTCAACATGAATATAATTAGTATTGCCATCATTTAAAAGTAAATTGTAAATATTGAACATTTCACTCTTCCATTGACATCTTTTTATAAAATACTACTGTTATTACTTTTTTGTTTTTATGTTTTTTAAAACAGTTTTAGCCAAATCTCAAAACTGACATAGACTGCACCAAGCATATAGTTCAATAAATTCTAAATTTAAAGGAAAATTTGATACATTTTGTCACTGAAAACCATGTCCTCTTGTGTGATTACCACTATTTGACTGTAAAGCCCATGTCATGCACATGTTAAAGTGATAGTTCACGCAAAAGTGGATGAATTTATTAACTATTTGCTCTCCTTGAGTTAGTTCCAAACCTTTATGAGTTTGTTTATTCTGATGAACATAAAAGAAAATATTTGGAAAAAAAGTTGGAAACTCATAAATCATTGAAACTCATAGGATTGATACAAGAGATTACAGTAAATTATGTCAGAATTAAATTTTTTGTATAAACTACCCCTTTCAGTATTTGTCTCAGAATTTTTTTATATTGAACTTTTTTTAGAATCACTATAAAATTCTTATGTTTGCTGTGCATTGGTGCGACACCCATATTTATTGAATTTGAAAATGTCCAACATGTCATGGAGAACAAATTATATTATTCATAATTTCATATCAAATAAATAGCACTGTATATTAAAATAAGTGTCCCAACATGAAGATAAATCACACGCTATTTATCATTGCTGTCTTAATTTGTGCTGCCATAGGACTTATTTAAGTATTGTTTAGAAAAAATGTTTACAAATTAAACAGTGAATTGATAAAGTTAGTGACCCCTTATATTTTCTCAAACTTCAGATTTTAAACAGTGTAATTATATGTTTTCTTCTCGTTACAAAAAAGCATTTTTGCTGCCTGTTTGTCAACTATACTCAATTATCCTCACTTTTCCTGTTTTTGTCTTGAAATTATACAAATGTGTCATGTTTTTTGCAGATTGACATTTACAATATTTGTTGTTTATTTTTAAGTATTAGACTGTTTGTAGTACAAAATGTTATTTCCAGAGTTGATATTTGCTGAAGTTGCTTTTTTAGCTATGTCTGCAAGAAAAACTTTGCCAATTGTTTTGTGCTTACTTCTCTGATTTTTGATCTCAAGTCTTTCATTTTACACATAACCATTTGACTTTAGACTAATTAAAGGGATAGTTCATTAAAAAGAAAAATATTCTCACCCTCAAGCAGATCCAAACCCTTATAAGTTTATTTGTTCTTAATCTTAATATTGAGTCAATAGTTCCAGCTTTCTTTAAAATATATTATTTCATGTTCAAGGGAAATAAAGTAAAACAGGTTTGGAACAAGTAAAGGGTGAGTAAATGATAAAACAATTTTCATTTTTGGATGAATTCTTTGGTCTTTAATTTTTGGGTGATTTCTCCAAGTGGTGCTCGCTGCAGAGCCATTTGAGGAGAGCTGAGCTCCAGCGAGGGGGAGCTTAAGCTTGAGCTCCACCTTTTTTGCACTTCTTCTACGAGTGATGTCACTGGGGGTAGGGTTAGGGGTGGAGTTGGTGTACGCATTAAAACAGCTTACAGGAGGAGGAGCGACAGCTCATGCTCCCCCTCGCTGGAGCTCAGCTTTCCTCAAATGGCTCTGCAGCGAGCACCCTCTCGATTTCTTTGACATGTTAATGTCATTGTATTGTTTGATGTATGCTGTTTCAATATCCATTTGTAGCGAATCAATAAAAATTATAGCGCAAAACTCATCCAAGACACCACCTGTCTGGATCTCACAGTACATTGTGAGAAATGGAGTAACACACATCCTTTCCTATGTGTTACTATTAATAAAGTTGAAGGTTTAAAGGCCTAGATTAATGACCTTAGTGTCATACCTCTTTACAGTAAAATTGGAATGATGCGTGTCATATTTGTTTGACTTAGGACCTACCAGGACCTATCAAGTGTGCGGCATCGAGGCTCAATGGTTAATTTTTGGGGTGTTGTTCTCTAACAAAACAAAGCTTGTGAATGTTTCCTTTGTTTGCCATGACTGAAGCAGATTTTATAGCATGCAGATTGTCAATGACTTTCATCAACTGCTAAAGGAATTTATGTAAAAGTATAAAATGTGGAGTTATTGAAAGAAAGTCCCTAAAATCGCCTTGTACTTATTAGAGGCTCCCCCTAGAGGAGTGAATGTGTGCAAACTGTGCAACTGAGAAAACTTTAATTAATTATAACTTTATGAAGTCACTAGCCTATATAGCATAATCAAAACGTAATGTTAGGATTTTTGTGAAGCCTACCATTTGCAAAATTTCAAAAGATCAAATATCAAATGAGTAAGCAATACCTACAATACACAATAGCCCTGGCTAATTATAGGATACGACGATCTCTGTCATGTCTCTGCCAAGTGTCACCGCTACCTACTGAAAGGTCTTCTCCATCCGCTTCCGCGTAACATGGTCATCTTTAATATTTCCACCAGCAGTGTCATTTTATTAACATGTTAATAAATAGCAGTAGAAATAGCCTAATTACAATAAATTGTGGTTTTGGAAGTGATAATTCTTATAAAATACCAGAGTCTGACATTTCATTTGATGCAAAGACGAAAAAAAGTGCCTGAAGCAACATCCCAGCTGAAGATCTTCCACGTTTACACATTCGAACTCCTCCTACAAGAGTCCACAAATCACTGCCGAGTTCGGAGCGCCTGCAAGCTGGACTCACACTCTACTTTGCTTACAATGTTACAGAAAATTATCTTGAGCTTATTGCTAGCGACGTGGTTCTCTGTTGACTGCAACCCCGGGCCAATCGACGATATTTTAATTGATCGATACTTCGTTCCTAAGCGCTGCGTCAGAGAGGTGAAATCTGGAGATTTTGTCCGGTATCACTATAACGGCACTTTTACTGATGGAAAGCGGTTTGACTCTAGGTGAGATGATGATTCAGTCAAGTTTCCCCTAAGTGAAAAATTCTTTGTCTTTTGCACTTTTAATTCTGGAATTAACCAGTAGCTAGTTGCATTTTGGTTACGTCCAGTGCGTCATCGTTTTTGTACGTGTATCAGTGAAGCGTTTTTGTCTGTAACATTAGGGTGGTAAGAATTTCCATATTGTTCCATGATCGTATTTTTTGGTAGCGCCATGCAAATTGCCCTATATAGATTTGCTCAAGATATTATATTGCAATGTTTAGTTATTTCATGCGTTGTCGTGTTTATTTCTGAATAAATGCCTAAATTAATTCTGTTAAAGTAGATAAAGTTAATACCCCACCAAGCAAAGTTACGTCCAAAAGACGTCTTTTCTACGTCTCTGTCAGACGTTGAAATTACGTCCTCTGAAGAGCCAGAATGAAAGTTTTTATGACGTCTTTTATTGACGTCTTTTCTACGTCCTTTCGACGTCCTTTCGACGTCCTTTCGGCGTCTTTTTGACGTCTTTTTTGTCTATTTAATTTTATTTATTTGTATTATGTATGTTTGTGATTCTTTTAAATGACAAACACCCATAGGACAAATAAACAGACAGTGCACATTAAATTGAAACATATTTATTTAACGAACAAACAAACAATCCAATTCACAATAAGACCAGAAACATGCATTAAATGGACAGTTCAGCCAAAAATGAATATTTAATAAACACTCAAAACAAATAGAAATGTATATATATATATATATATATATATATATATATATATATATATATATATATATATATATATATTAGATTTTTTTTTCCTCAACAAAATGTATTCTGCGCTAGACCTTGTGCTATACGTCCAAAATAGGTTAGATTGGAACGTTGAATTCACGTCCAAAAGTGGTCATAGTCCGACGTCAATATGTCGACCAGATTTGCACGTCGAACTGACGTGCAGATATGGTCATGGACGGACCGACGCAAAATATACGTGATCTGCACGTCCGCACAACGTCTAGTGTTTGGTGGGACGTTTCTTCAAAATAAAATAAAACAGAAAAAGCTTTAATGGAAGCTAATGGAAGTGTTTCCACATTTTGAAGAGAACACACTCTTTGAAAACGTTTTGAAAATGATTTTAATACCGTAACTTGTGTAAAATTAATATTTTGGGATTTACAAAGCTCTGTTTGAGTGTGCGTGCATATGCAGCAATAGTGTATTTGTCTGTCTGTGTGTGTATGTGCGTGCATATGCACCTGGTATAGTAATACCAGTAGTTATTGACCTGGTGGGAAAATTGTTTGGTCCTCAAAAGGAAAACAGTTAAATTATACATAATGAATATGAGAATCTAAAAATGCTGAATGTTTTCTGTGAATGTAGGATTTAGGAGTAGGGTTTGGGAAAGGGGAAAGAATATGTACTGTCTGTAGCCTACAATACAAATAGTTACATCAATGGGAAGTCATAAAAACATGAAACATAAAACATAAAAAGCCAATGTATATGTGTGTGTTGTTTTTTCAATTAAATTAAAATTGGTTTTGTCTGTTTTAATTGCAGCTATGAGAGAGGTACTGCATTCTTTGGACAGGTGGGTCAAAGATGGCAAATTGCTGGTGTGGACAAGGGCATTCTGGGTATGTGTATAAATGAACGCAGAAAGATCACGGTGCCTCCTCATCTGGCCCACGGTAGCAAAGGAGCAGGTACTGTATTATACCCAAACATACATTATACATTCATCTAAAGGAATGTGCATACTAGCTAGAGGCCCAAAACACTTAAGTCATAAAATGGCTTAATATTATATAATTAAATATAAAAGCAAGCATCATTAAAAAAACAAATGTTGTTAGAACTTCACTTTCAACTTCCTCTTTTTCGTTGTGAAATGCTTTACTTCATGTTTTGCATGATCATATTTCTATTTTCAGTATACAGAGCTTAAAACTACTATACACTCACTGGCCACTTTATTAGGTACCACTTGTCCAACTGCTCACTGATGCAAATTTCTAATCAGGCGATCAAATGGCAGCAACTCAATGCAGTTAGACATCTAGACATTTTCAAGAGGATTTGTTGCAGCTCAAACAGAGCATCGAAATGAGGACGAAAGGTGATTTAAGTGACTTTAAACGTGGCATGGTTGTTATTGCCAGATGGGCTGGTTTGAGTGTTTCAGAAACTGCTGATCTACTGGGATTTTCACTCACAACCATCTCTAGGGTTTACAGAGAATGGGCTGAAAAAGAGAAAATATCCAGTGAGTGGGAGTTCTGTAGGTGCAAATGCCCTGTTGATGTCAGTGGTCAAAGTTGAATGGTCAAAATGGTTCAAGCTGATAGAAAAACAACAGTAGTTAAAATAACTCATTACAAACGAAGAATGCAGAAGAGCATCTCTGAACATACAACACATTGAACCTTGAGGCGGATGGGCTACAGCAGCAGAAGACCACACAAGATGTCATTCCAGTCAGCTAAGAACAGGAAACTAAGGGTACTATCCACACAGGCTCACCAAAATTGGACAATAGAATATTTTAAAAACGATGCCTGGTCTGATAATCAGGGCTTTACATTAACACCCGCCAAATGTGGGTAGATATCAGCAGTGGCGGGTTAGACAGACACCTCCAATAGCCACTTTGGCTGGTTGAAAATCCTTTTAAAAATGTAGCTTTCTTAAAAGCAGGGTTCGATAATAAGCATGGCCCAATATTCGTGCAAATGTGATCTTAGAATCGAGAAGCAGCACGACTGACAAAAAAATAAATAAATGTTTGCGCAAGCAAAACAGCAAAAAAGAAGGTAAATACCGAACGAGAAGATGTTCACTTGTGAATTGATCACTGTACCTAGAGGACTAGAGGAAGCGCAGCTGGTGCGATTGATTCCCTTTGAAATAGACTGGACAAACAGCAATGATCGTGCGCCCACAATCCTGCTGCTTTCAAGAGCTTAAGAAAAAAAAATACACATTCTTTTGTCAGCAGCAGCGATCACTGCTTTCATTTTAATTATTCTTTGAACAGATTAACAAGCCTATATTAATCGTGGGCGCTTGATCATCATTCCATTATCAAACACTGTGGGCCCTATCATACACCCGGCACAATGTGGCGCAAGGCGCGGCGCAATAGTCTTTTGCTACTTTTAGCTCGGCGCAAGGGTCATTTTGAGGTGTTGCGCAACACTGTTTAAATAGCAAATGCATTTGCGCTCAAATGTGCGCCCATAGGCGTTGTGGTCTAAAAAAGCAGGCGTGTTTTGGAGCGTTGCTATTTTGAGAAACTGTAGATAGTCTGTTCTTTAGACCAGAACAAAGTCGGTCTATTGTCTGGCGCAAAGTGCGCCTGGCTTACAGACTACACACAAGATGCAGAGCAATATAATATATATATACATAATAAGGATATATACAGGATATAAATATAAATGATTAAAATATTACAAAACATATCAATTTCTAGCCTACATGAAGATTTTAAAACCACTGCCTTACTTTCTTCATCTCGGGAGGCTTTTTCAGTTCATTCAATTTGCTTTTGTATAATGTTATTATTATTAGCAGTACTATTTATTACATTCATATTTATATTTGTTTTATTAAAAACAAGCTTAGATTTGTCCACCCGTCAAATTTTAGACCATATGGGGCAGCATGTGTATTTGGAAATAACTCAGCATTTTGACCACACTTTGTTTTTATTGTTTATTTATTTGTTTGCTGGAAATTAGAACTGAATTTAGAAATAGTTTTGAAACAAATCTTTGCACTTAACAAATGAAATTAATTATTTATAGGCTAATTGATGTCTGTGCGGTAAGGTTTCCCTATCCACGAGAGCAAAAGCGAACGTGAACTTCAAAATGCGCTTATGGCGCGATGCAGCTGGCTCTTAAAGGTAATGGGAGATGAGACTCTGATTGGTTTATTCACAAAACACACCTATAACTCATTAAGAAAATAAACTCAACCCTGTTAGACCATGCGCCACTGCCCAACGCGGATTTTCCCGTCCTTAAATTAGCAAAAATGCGTACTGACACGCCCTGAAAGCATTTGTGCACTGCGTTTTGCGCTCTGCGCATGGACCGTCAAAATAAAGCCTTTTATGTTTTACCTGATTCCTTTTGCTTACAGTTATTTTTGTTAATATGGTTTAATTATATTTTTTACAATAACATTGCTTTATTGGGAGATTACTCCCCATTTATGTGTAGTTAACTGCTGATCTGGGACTTTAAGCCAGGACAGATTACTGTGCATATTTTAAATACATGACAATATTTTTTTTTTTTAAGAAACGTTTTGTTGAATTAAAAAAGTGCAAATATACAGCTTTATTTTGCTTGTTTTGACACATTAAAACATTGTGGCTAAGAAATACTTATTTGGTGTGGTCAGATAAATTTGGTAAACTCTTAATTTTGAGCCCTGAAAAGTCATGTGAAATAAAAACTGACTGCATTGCGACAACCTATTTGCGCATACACACTGAGCAAGCTAATACACAACACACACAAGAAGTTAAATGAATGAGAAGGCATGTGGACATAACATCTAAATCAAGTCATTTTAGCATATTAAAGTCAAATTTATGCATATAAAATATTTTCCCAACAAGTGTGGCTAGTTAAAATGGCCAGTGGCTAGTAATGTTGGAAATCTACTAGCCACAGTGGCTAGTGAACAAAAAAGTTAATGTCAAGCCCTGCTGATGATCCTTGATTTCCAGCAGATGGTAGAGACAGAATTTGGCGTCAGCAACATTAAAGCATGGATCCATCCTGTCTTGTATCAGTGGTTCAGGCTGGTGGTTGTGTATTGGTGTGGGGATATTACCTTGGCACGCTTTGGGCCCATTAGTACCAATTAAGCATCGTGTCAATGCCACAGCCTACCTGAGTATTGCTGCTGACCATGTCCATCCCTTTATGACAGCAGTGTACCCATCTTCTTATGGCTACTTCCGGCAGGATAACGCACCATATCATAAAGTGCAAATCATCTCAGAATGGTTTCTTGAACAATAAAGTTGACTGGGTTCACTGTACTCAAATGCCCCCCACAGTCACCAGATCTCAATCCAATAGAACACGAAAGCCACTATGCCACGAAAGATTAAGACAGGTATGAAAACAAAATGGGTCCAACACAGTGGCTGGTGAGTGTAAAAGCATGCATTAAATAGAAAACAGTTCACATTACAACTAATATTATTGATCACTGTCCTACCTTTTTCTTCTGTTCCATTTTAGGTGATACAGTGCCACCAGACACAACATTAGTGTTTGATCTGGTTTTACTGGACATTTTTAACAGGGCAGACCAGGTTCAGACCAAAGTTATCAGTACACCTAAAGACTGCAGGCGCTCTGTTATGAGAACAGACTTTGTGCGTTTTCACTTCAATGGGACATTGCTGGATGGAACTGTTTTTGACTCCAGGTTAGTCTCTGAAGAACCACATATCAAAAAAACTACACATCTTTTAGCACTCCCAATATCAGGGCTATTCAACTGGTGGCCTGCAGGCCGAACCCAGCCCCTGAGGCAATTTGTTCCGGCCCTCTAAATAGTGTGATCAAGACATCAAAAATAAATTTAGTTAATTCAAAAAACGGCAGCTATTGTTATGAAGTGACATGCGTCTGTTCAATACAGCATAAGCTGCAGCTGCAGTTGAAGGCTGTGCAGAGCATAAGTCAGAAGACATTAAGCGAGTGGTGCGAGCAGCCGAAAACATTTGGATATGTTTGTAGAAAAGGCCTTTTGTTTTATTTATTTATTTAATTTATTTATACAGTGACAATGTACAACATGACATGTTGTGCCAAAGTAACTGTAAATATAACTTTAAATAACTGTAAAGCTAATTTATATCTGTAGTCCCTGGGCAGGAAATTGTAACAAATTTAACAGTAAAAAAATAATACAATATACACTTACAGTACAATACATACAATACTTCATTGTTCAATGCACTGATATCGTTAATGGGGATGCAAGGATTTGCCGATTCCACTATTAATTCAATACAGTTAACTAATCTCAAAGGCTTCTCGACGCCGCAATCCTGTTGCTTGGAACAAAACTGCTGCAACTAAACAAATTTATGCCAATACACACAGACGTTGGATTAACTATAGCAGCAGGCCGTTGTTCTTTTTTGCACTTTTGCATCTTACGGCGACGCAGGGGTGCAGTAGGTAATGCTGTCGCCTCACAGCAAGAAGGTTGCTGTGTCGCTGATTCGATCCTCGGCTCAGTTGGCGTTTCTTTGTGGAGTTTGCATGTTCTCCCTGCGTTGGCGTGGGTTTCCTCCGGGTGCTCTGTTTTCCCCCACAGTCCAAAGACATCCAGTACAGGTGAATTAGGTAGGCTAAATTGTCTAAAGTGTATGAGTGCACACCATAGAAATTGTCTCATGCTGTAGCGGTCAGAGCTATGCGTGGCTTTCAGTGCAATGTAAACAAACGATACGTTAGACAAATTGTTACAATTTAATAAAATAATTGTGTGTATGAACGCAGATATTAACAAGTTCATTTAAATTCTTAGCTAATATAGCTTAAATTAACATTAGATAAATACTATTTTTATTTCTTTTTATTTTTTTATTTATTCATTGTTCTGTTATTTATTTTCCTTGTAAAATTATCACTCAAGTTTTAATCAAAAAACGTCTTAGTTTATTTTTAAGTCCAAAAAAAGAAATGGACTAATGTTTGTTTTTTTTATAAATAGTTTGTACTGTTTTTGTTACCGAGCAGCAATATGTCAATGTCAATAGCAATAAACAACACTGTAAAATATAAGCAGGTTTCTTGTGATTTTCTAAACCAGTAGTGTTTTGAACTTATTAAATGCAAAATAATGGTGATAACTGTGAAACTATGATTATTCTTTAGACTAATTTTACAACCAAAATTTTTAATCAATGCATCCCTAATTGTTACGCAGTTTAAAACATAAAATATGAATGTGTTTGAATGTAGAAGCCTACTAAAGCAATACACTGATTTTGTTGTGCTTAGAAACACTACATTTGAATAGGTTTGTTAAAAAGCCACATTGTACAATGCAGTGATGTTATGTAGTTTCAAAATACAACATATTAACGTTTTAATGTAGAAAAAGCCAACGTGGGTGTATTAAGGAGCAAAAGTACAAAACATACTTGTATTGCTGTTGTGTCATAACTTAAATTGCAAGTCATATTTCTCCGGCCCCTCATTTGGGATGCTTTTCATGAACTGGCCCCCATGACAAACTAATTGAATAGCCTGGCCTATATATTTGCACCAGAAACTTCTTTATAAACACTTACATTTCCAGTAGAAAAGTGCAATTGCTTCACCCAGGTGAGTGGGCTTGACAAACTACCTAGCAGACACATTCTTTTCTCCTCCTCTCTGTATGCACCAGACACTTTTATACAAAGTTACAACAGAAGCATGTCAAATTACCAGAAAAGTGTCTGTTAGTTTAGCATTGTAATTTTATGTTATTTTTCAGACGATTAACAACAAGAACAAATATATTTAGATTATTTTTTTAGCATTGTTCAGGATCAAATATTGCGAAAACAGATGTGACTTTAACAATGCCATAAAAATTGACACAAAAACTGTTTGCATAGGGTTCATGGTGAAGCCATTCAAGGTGAAAGTTTTTGAAAGTAATTTTGTGCCATTTTTGGATGGCACCACACAATATTGTTCATTAGCAAGGTTCTCATTTCCAAGTGTAAAGTAATGAATTCAGCTAATATGATTATACTGTTGCAAAGATGTGCCTTGACTGATTATATGTGCAACATGCAGCTACAAGCGTTCCCAGACGCAGGATTCAGTCGTTGGAGAAGGTTTGCTCATAAAAGGCTTGGATGAAGGCTTGCTTGGCATGTGTGTGGGTGAAATACGACACTTCATCATCCCCCCATTTCTGGCGTTTGGAGAACAAGGATATGGTAAGCAAGAAAACCATCTGCATGTTCATTCAAAGAACATTTTTATCACCCTATCAAAATTGTAAAGCAATTATCTGTCAAGATACTGCGCACTAATTATGTGTTATGGTAATGTCTTGTTTTTTTAATAATGTGGTTTCCACATTTCACACTGCACTTTGCTTTTATTTGTTAATCTACAAGATAAATATAATTTGTTGGACAAATACAAATGGGTAACTACTTACAAAACTAGAATGTAACCTCCTAAAATATAAATGTAGCATTAATATATAGCATTTAAATACTTAAATATAGTATAATTAAATAGTAATATAATTAAATATAGCGTTTGGTAATAACCAAAGAAATCCATATGAGCAAAGAAAACAATTTTAATTAGTTTACAAATTAAGTTATGTGTAATAAAATTATATGACACAGGAAAAAAAGTATTGAACACCTGAAGAAAGGTAGTAAAAACCCAAACTGCAGCTTAAATCTCTAGTTAGTCAGCAACCCTCCACCCTTTATCAGTGTAAATTAATATTAGCTGCTTCAGTCCAACGTCTACATTACTGATGATAAATACGGATTTTTATCATCTTTATACGGATGATAAAGATAAAACCAGAGTGGAAATTTTAGCAAGACACTAGCTATGTTTCCATTTTGCTGATGCGCAAAAAAAAAAAACGGTTGATGGAAACACCATGATGCACATAAATTTAAAAAATGCCCATAAAAAAAGTATATTATAACTGAGTTGTGTAAACTTTTTATTCGAAAAGAAAAGATGCGCATAAACTGATGGAAACACTTTTACCGCACAAATTTCATTATGTGCATTAAAAAAGGTCATATGATTTTGTAATAAGAGATCATGTGATGATAAAAATGTGTGTGAATGGACAAACCAGCAGGCTGAGCACACTGTAAGTCATCTGAACTGTTGTTTTGGTCATCCTAAAACGCCTTACCGTTTAAGTATTAGTGTTATTATACTATTAATGACCTCCAGAATCAAGAGCGTCTGTGCTCCACGTCAGACACCTTCAAATGTAATTTGACACTATTCAGCAGTCCTGCATGAGTTTGTTGAAATGTGTGCATTAAATTTTCAAATAAACACGATTCATTAACAAAACATACAATTAAACATTGCAGCTGAGTGCAGCTGAATAAATGTAGAATCTGTAAATACTGTATTTTGCATCCTGACATACGTTTGAACATGTCTCGTGCAGTCGTTGCTCAGTAATGCATAGTAAACTATCTGTTTTCCCATTTTCAGAAAAAAGGTATCACATACAGTACATTAAGTTAAATTTTAACAAAAAAAAACTAAGGTAAGAAAATGATTATGTCTCTCAAGGAAACATTGTGGCTTATTAAATGCAGGCTGAGGCATGCGTATTAATGATCGCAGAGCAACATTTTAGCCTGTGTTCTCCTGATGATGTGGCTGCTCATCATGTCCATCATGTCAACCTTAAGTACAAGCAAATTAGGGGTGTGAACCTACACTGGTCTCACGGTTCGGTTATGATTATCATGCCATCGATTCAGTTCAATTTAATATCTTTGAGCATCACTTTGCATTGAAAATGCTTTCCATACATAATTAGATTTTTTCTTTACAACACAAGATTTTTTTTTATTAAAATATTTTTCTCTATAAATATATTAATATTTGCACAATATTTGTAAATTTTGTTGTTTAATACAAGCAGTAAGATATATGAAGTGTACCTTTAATTTTACCTGCTCAAAGAAAGCACTCTTTTTTAATGTATCAAACCAACCTCCGATACATGCACAGAAGACAGCATGAGCGTTTATAGCCAATAAACTAAAGTAAATATTATCCTGCTTGCTTTTTGAGCGATGTCAAGTAAGGTCTTACACCCCCATGATTGGTCATTGTCTTGACCCACCCAACAGAACGGGCTGCGATTGGCTTTAGAAATGAAAGCGATGTTCACCGATGAGTAATGTGGGAAGATTAGCTGCGGTTACAGTATATATGAGCATAATACAAGTTTATCACAGGTAATCCATAATAGACACAGTGGAGAAAACTTCCACAAGTATCCACAAGTATCGCTTTAGAGGAGAGGGAAAGTTACCTCACGAACACGCCAGTGGGTCAAGTGTTAAAAGTGATAGAGAGAGGAAGAGATGGATTTTTACAGCATTTCTCCCTAGTAGTGAAATAGCGGCTCAGGTGCTGGGCCTTCTTCAGTATCAATAAAAGATTTTCCAGCAAACTCATAAGCAGTTAAACTGTGCATAATTATCTACCTTTTAAGTAGTAGGAGCATTTTATTTACGTGCCCATGCCTTCTTTGTCTTATTAGTCTACTGCGACATCGCGCATAGGAGATAAATGACGCCAGTATGTAATAACTGGTTATTATCTATTACTGAACCAATATCGTATTGTCCCCATCTGCATCACAGTGCACCGAAGAAACAATTCATTTTGACATCCCTAATTCAAATGATGAGGGCACCCCTGTGAATAATGCAACAGTCAGGCCCGGGAGAATTCCCAGTGGGCCAGTCCGTTTTTTGGCCGCGAGGGCCGGTGTCCCTAGCTGCTTGCACTCTCAGCAGTCACACTTTTTTCATTTATTTATTTATTTGACCATAGCCTCACTCTTTATTTATCAATTTGCTGCAGCTCTGCTCTTTTTATTTATTTTCTCGCAGCCCTGTGAGCAAAATGTAGCTTGCAGGTTAATGATGACAGCAGCACCTTAGTAAATATAAGAATTTGAATTATTAATATTAATAAATATTACACCTGCTCAAATAAAATCAGATGATTAACTACATTAATAAATCTGATATTCTTGATCTTGATCAGAAATTTAAAAAGGGGAGAAAAAGTTTAAGCCAAAGAGTTTTGCAGGTAACAGTACAATGCTTTTTCTTTATTCCACACGTGTCAACATAACAGCACCATTGTGGTCCAGTGGTCAGCACGTTGCGTTATGACGCCACTGACCTGAGTTCGAATCTCACCTAAATAATATTTTTTTTTTTTTCATTTTTAGTGTTAGGACATACTATACTGTTTGGGATACTTATGTAGGTGAACATTTTATTTTTATTTTTTGTGTAACCACCGTTACAAAGGACTGGATATAGGGCTGGGCGATAATTCGATATCGATAATTATCATGATATAAATTTTTTCGATAAAGCGATAATGACAGTCCAATAATTGCTCGATAATATTTATGCACTCTGCGTAACATTGCGCAAGCATTTTGCAGCCTGCCCTTCCGGATGCCGCACACCGCACGCCGTACACGTTTACAGCCATGGTTGTACTTAAAGGAGTAAGAAAAAAGAGGGTAAAAAAGGTCAGAGTCACAGACATTGTTGACAAGAAACGTCACTAGACCTCAGTTTTAACCTGCTTAGTTTTTTGCTATCCGACACAAAACAGCAACGTGCACTGCAAACTGCGCAAGACGACTCATGTCATCAAAAGCAGGCAACACCACAAGCTTTCAATTCAATTCAGCTTTATTCGTATAGCGCTTTTACAATGTAGATTGTGTCAAAGCAGTTTCACATAAATGGTCATAGTAACTGGAACAGTGTAGTTCAGTTTTTAGTGTTTAAGTTCAGTTCAGTTCAGTTCAGTTTAGCTCAGTTTAGTGTGATTTAATCATTACTGAGAGTTCAAACACTGAAGAGCAAATTCATTAATGCGTAGCTCTACCAATCCTGAACCATGCGAGCCAGTGGCGACAGGAAAAAAAACTTCACCTGATGGGAGTGAAGAAAAAAAACCTTGAGAGAACCAGAATCAGTTGGGCACGACCATTTTAATTTCTCCGCTGGCCAAAGGTCTTGTGCAGCTTCAGTCGCCGTGGTGGAGGCTAGAAGATGGCCTCAGCGAAGACTCGTCTGTCCCTGGAACGTCGCTGGAATCAGATACATGTTCTCCACTCCCCACGACCATCAGCGCAGCAGCAGCTCAGGATATGGCCTGGTCCCGGATATGGAATCCTTGGGATCATCTCGTCACTGGTCTTGGATCCAATCAGTGACTCCGCATAATCTGAGGACCTCGGGATGAGTATCCCCAGGTGAAAATAGAGAATAAAGAGAATAATTAGCGTAGCTGCTGTTCATAGTGTATATAAACAAGATGCAGAAGCCTGTGTGGAACCCGCTAGGTGATGCATTGACTGTATGCTTTACTAAACAGATAGGTCTTTAATCTAGTTTTGAACTGGGAGAGTGTGTCTGAGCCTCGGACGTTATCAGGAAGGCTATTCCAGAGTTTAGGAGCCATAAAAGAGAAGGATCGACCTCCTTTACTTGATTTTGCTATTCTAGATACTACCAGAAGCCCTGAGTTTTGAGATCTTAAAGAGCGAGTTGGATTGTAGCGAGACAGAAGGTTGGTTAGATAAACAGGAGCTAGATTATTAAGAGCTTTATAGGTGAGAAGTAATATTTTAAATTCAATACGAAACTTAACAGGCAGCCAGTGTAAGGAGGATAAAATTGGGGTGATATGATCATATTTTCTAGATCTGGTCAGAACTCTGGCTGCTGTTTCATCATTTAAAACAACACCACCCTTATGAAGATGCTAAGAAATTACAGACCTAAACAAGTGCTGGTAAACCAGGACAACTACCCAGCAGAGTCTCATGTCATCATTTTCGAAAGCCGTGCCTACAAAAGAAATGACAGACAACACAATCTCAAACACATCTCAATGAACAGCAACAAGAATCAGTCCAAGGCACTCGAATAAAGTAAAAAATTAAAAAAGCATTTATTTACATCTGAATGAACATTTGAAGCTTGCTCTACAGGCTGCATTAAGGATATTTACACTACAACATTTACACTAACAAAAAATAATATAATAAAGAGGCAAATTCAAGCAAAGTATCAAACAAAAAAAATGTTAAACTCGAGTAAGAGGATGATAGGGAAGCCAAACAAAAGTAAGGAATATAACAAAACAATTCTAATTTATGAATAACCCCTCTCACCTCACTAAAACTGATGAAAAGTAAAAAAGTCCTTCAGCGCAGTGCGCCGTATTCTTCCCTAAAAAATAAATATAAAGATGACATTCACCTCTTAACTGATGTCTTTTTACAATACATTTTCTACGTGTTTGCAAAATGGAAGTTGTAGGACATCTTTCCTATCCATCATACTCTGAGAAAAGGGTGAACTTGAGGAGATAAAGCTCAATATTGTCGGGAAAGAGCCGAGCCAAAAAATAACATACAAATCAATCTAAATAAAAATTACAAAATTTCTGAAAGTGGGCAAAAGTAATGCAAAATAATTTTACCCAAACGAAAGTTAAGCAAAAACAAGGAAAATCATAATCATGGGCAAAATTCACCAAAAACCAGATCAAAGGAAAAAGCGCACTCTCCGCTTTTCATATGCCCACACCATCTCCGCCTCGCCTCCGAAACGCGGTCAGCTGCAGACTGCAGTAAAAGAGCGTTCGCTTGCACCGTGTGTTGTTGGAATGATTCTCCACGCAAGGCACTGCAGTGGTGGAAATACGTGATCTTGTTTCTCCCAGGATGATGGCAGATTTTCCTCTGACTCCTTTAACTGAAATTTTGAACATAGGCTACTCTTGCACTTCCTTTATTATTATTGGGCATCTCATTTCTTCCCATTCTGCAAAGCCCACTCGGCTTTTTTGCTGATCCATTGCCATGTCCCGCTATAGCACCCGCAACCGACCTGCAATTAGCTAATTATGAAGAATTTTTTTATTACCTGACCCGCGGTTTATCCGCAGCGCCCGGAGATATAACCGCCATTTACGCATCACTAATGGGAGGCAAAAATACAACCTTTACGGCTACAACTGTAACATTAGTTTCAGACAAAACTGCAATGTATTTTAATGGTGAATATGTCATGTAAAAATACTTTACAAACACAGTATATGTATATTTTATCATTAAACGGAAACCTAACTATCTAAATGAAAACTTAAATGAGCATCACTATGCCTGTGTCTGCACCGAGATCAAGCTTCTCACATAAGAATGTCGACATTATGGTGTTTTTGAAGAAGAACTTGAAACTTACAGTAATTAAATATTCCAAATGTCCCTAGAGAGGACAAGCCTGTTTATCTTTCACTCTACACTGCAGTTATTTATTTCATTTTAGTTTACTTAATTAAAATGGCTGCACTAAAGATAATAGTTTTTTTCTGACTAGTCTATATTGGAGGTATTTATTTAATTGTTGTTGTTTACTCGGGTATCCTGACTGTACTAAAATTTGAAAACTGAAAATTCTGTGAACACTAACTCACCTTTACTTGTTCCAAACCTGGTTTATTTATTTTTTTTTTCTGATGTTGAACAATAATATCCAATATCTTGTCTTTGGTTGTTGAAAACTTAAACAGTAAATGCTGAATTAAGATTGTTCTTTTGTTTATTATTTTATTATTTATATTGGCTAAAACATTTTACTAAATGTGTTAAATCAGCTGCACAAAGCGATTGGCATACTAAAAATTTTGTAAAATTGATAGATATAAAGATTTTATTTTTATCATGATAAATACCGATATCGACTGATATGACAAATTATTGTGATATTTTTTTTTTACCATATCGCCCAGCTCTAACTGGATATCTATAAAGAATTTTGCACCAAATATATTTTAAGATATTGCTGGAAAGGACATTGTGATGTTTTAAAGAATAATGTTGGAGATTTAGCTACACTTTAATGTTCTCATATTCAAGAAAAACATTAAAATTTCTAAACCAGCTTTTTCCTTGAAAAAGACGTGATAGTGTCATTAGAATCTGAATTGGAAATGACGTTAATATAGTCAGTCGTGAACTGAGGTTGGCCGGTATAAGGCTTGAAACTCCAGGGCTGAAAAGGAGTCCCACTCCTGCCCTATGCCTAGGTATACCAAGATTTTCTTTATAGAAAAATAAAAATAATTTACATTCAAAATAAAATAAAAAGAACCTGTTCTTTGCAATAAAAGTGAAATTTCTTGACCTTCACAAAGGACACATAAGAGCTTTAGTAAAATGTATGGGCTAAGCACTTGTACTTTCCATCCCAAAGAGGGAAAAAATCACTTTCGCGAACGCTCACGCTCAATCTGCCCAGTTGGTGGAATGAACTCCCTAACTGCATCAGAACAGCAGAGTCACTCGCTATTTTCAAGAAACGACTAAAAACTCAACTATTTAGTCTCCACTTCACTTCCTAATCTGCAATTGCCTCTTTGAATATCACACTAATTGTACAAAAAAAAAAAAAAAAAAAAAAAAAAACTACTAACACGTCCCTTCTTAGACTTTACAGACCTGAAACTTGCCTTTAGTACTTATTCATTGTTGCTCTTAGTTGTGTAAATTGCTTCCTTGTCCTCATTTGTAAGTCGCTTTGGATAAAAGCGTCTGCTAAATGACTAAATGTAAATGTAAATGTACTTTAACTACTTAACTATACCTAGTCTGGATTAAATCCATACTAATCTGAGTATTTCTATTTTGGGAAACTTTATCTTTTAACAGAGCACAATATTGTATGCTTTACTTCACTGTCTTTATTTAAACCTGAGAAATTGTCACCAACTCAAAGATTTGACAGTGGTGTTCAATTCATGAGGAGCCTGTTGAATTGGTTTACATATTGAAGTAAAAACTTAATTTGTAAATTAAACTTGTTTGTTTGCATTATTTTTTAATTTGCACATTTTGGGAATAAAGTAATTTCTTGCAAAGCAATTAAACATTTATCAAAACTTTTTCTACATTAAAAAACATTTTTTGTACCTTGGATGAAGTAACCTTATTAGGATTGGAATAGTATTTAATTAGGGTATGGTATCTGTACTTATACTCAAATTTTTATATTGTATACTTCAACCACCAGCACCACATAACCAGCAAGAAGATTAAGTCAGTTTTCTTTATTTGTTTATCTTTAATTCATCTTTCTCTTGTGTCTCTTTCCCTCAGGTACAGGCATTCCTCCTCATGCATCTGTAGAATATCACATTCTCCTGGAAGACCTGCACAACCCTAAAGATGACATCATTGTGGAGACCCTGAAATTGCCTGAACCATGTGCTCGCAAGTCTGTTGCAGGCGATTTCATTCGTTACCATTACAATGCTTCCTTCCTCAATGGCATCATGTTTGACTCTAGGTATTTTGTTGGTTTGTTAGCTTTTTTAACAATTTGTGGATGCTGTTGGTGTTGCTTTTAAATTCTACTGTATATCACTTTTAAAATCACAGTTATCAACAAAACCAGACGTACAACACTTACATCGGAATGGGCTACATGATCGCCGGCATAGATAAAGGCTTGCAGGGTGTTTGTGCAGGAGAGTGGAGAAGAATCATCTTGCCGCCTCACCTTGCCTATGGCCAGCAGGGGGCAGGTTAGATCATTTCAAAGCTTATTTAAAGATAAGTTAGCCAATCAAGATCCAAGCAAGATCCAAGTTTCAATGGCATGATGCAGAAGTACTAAGGGCATGTCTGAATTCTTTTTTGCTATTTAAAGAGTTAGAAAAAAATGGTCCGTGTGCCAGGGCCATGGTCTAAAAGTGTTGTCCTTATTTTATTAATAAGTATATTTTAGGCATAATGTGCATTAAACCAATCAGAGTCTCATCTCCTGTCAGTTGCATTGCACAATGGTGCATTCACTATTAACATGGCAAACTTTGTAAGCAGAAAAACTAAAGGCTTCACTAGTAAGAAAATGGTTGAAGACTATCTGCGCAACCAATGAAAGACCACCTATGGGACGGACATTTTCCATTTGACCTCTTTCTCTGTGGTTTCTGAAAATTGATGCATTCCAGTGAGAGCATCCATTACATATTTTTGTTTAAGTGCAAAGTACTACTACTAATAATAACATTAAACAATTGTAAATTGTCATGAATAAACTGAGTACAACAGAGGTGATGGGAAGTGATATAGGTTTTTATATTAGTATAGACAATATTACTATTTTTCACATTTTATTACTTAATTTTTTTCCTATTTAAAGATACTTATGTAGTGCTGTATATGCCTGTGAGTGTATTAAAGAGCTCCTATTATGCATTTAAAAAGGGTCATTTTTTGGTTTTGGGGGTCTCCAACAACAGTCTGATATGTATACAAGGTAAAAAAAACACTTTCATTGTCATATAATATGCATTTATTTTTACCTAATTATCCCAATGACCCCCATATAATTCGTTCAGCGATTTATTTGTTCCCAAACCCCTCCTTAGCGTGATGCTAATCTGCGCTGATTGGTCTAATGACCCAGTCTGCTGTGATTGGTCAACTGCGTTTAGTGCAAGTCAGAGAGAAATGCCAACCATGGCTTATCCACAATTTTGAAGTTGTCAGAGTACAGAGAGTATGTGTGAGCCCAATGCAGTTAAACACCAGCATCTTGTTCTATTCTTTAACCATAGGTAAAAGCAGTGACACACATTCAGTATTAATCCACACAGTGGCAAAGACTGAACTTTTTTGAAACTTGACCACCGCACGTGTGTAGGAACAGCTGTTGGTGGCCATAGCAACGACAAACGGCAGTGGATCGCAAGCTCACAATTGCATTTACATTCGTAAACAAAGCGCCACGCAACGCGTTTTTAACGTGGCTTTAGATGCGATACAAGAATTTAAAGGGTTAACCAGATGCAGTGGTTACACGTAATAAAACACATTAAAATACATAATTTCCAAGCTAGAGAAAACAAGGAGTAGACCATTTTAATCGCACTTACTTACACTTGTGAAATTAAGGAACAAAAGTGTGATCCATGAAGTATGTACTGTAAAGTTCCTGTCAAGTTCTGACAAAGTCACTTACATTAACAGTCTTTTCTGATCCTTCCTTTAACAAACAGACAACAACTCCCCGGCTGTCAACATGTAGATTGCTGTAGCACTGGTCAGAAAAATGACAGGAACACAGCACAAGGCTGGGGCTATAATGCTGGGGTATTATTGCAAAAAATAAAAAATAAAATAAAATTGAACCTCTTCACAATTCTTCACAGCCTCATCTTTGTATAGGTAAAATAACACTAATGCCAAGTTCAGACTGCATGATTTTCAAAGTAGTCCTGTCACTTTATACTGAAGTTTTTATACTGAAGGATGGATCGGCGATAGGGTTTCACATAGCATGACTTTAAAATAGGAAGAATCGCTGACAACCTTGTTCAAACTATGTCTCACAACCAAACAAATGCAAGAAGTGACATGGAAACAATGCAATATCACGTAATATATCTTTGGTTATTAACTACATAATGAAAAAAAAGGCTTTAAGCTTTAGTACGTACTTATGTACTTATTTAGCTCACCTGGCTTTTGAAGAGAATTAGCTATTTCTCCTTAACGCTTTTACTTTTTGACTAGGTGGTGATATGGCTCAGATGACGCATCGAAAAAGACACATGCTCCTGCCAAATTTCCACTAGTTTTTCCTCCATTTCTTGGGTCCAAATAAACTGAAAATATGCACTTTTGACTTTTCCTCCAACCCCTCACTGGCCTGCAGGTACCCACAATAGTGGATGCTGCTCTCTCATTGGCTGTAGGTGATTGCGGGTGTCATTTACAATCAGAAAACATTTCACACAGCAGGATTTGAATCGCCGACAGCTCCAGATATTTAGCATGCCAAATAACTCACTGGTGTCGGTGACTCATCGAAAATTCTCTCATATCGCGTTCTTGATTGTTCATACCATGTGAATGTCACTCGCATGAACAAGCACTAATTTGCCTGTGATTTCAGGCATTTGTCACTGATTTCCCAAAAGCTGTTAGCGAGTCAAAATCGGGGCTAAAATCATGCAGCCTGAACTCAGCATCACTCTCCCTCACACTTCAGAGCATAGCGTCTATGCGATTTGATACAACCGGGATCTGCTACAGTGTTTGGCTTCCTCTTTTTCTTCTTTCCACTGGTGGGGCCGGGGGTTTAAATTTTCCTGGGTCTGCGCAAGCAACAAATTAACAGGGCTTGAGATCTGTATCGACGTCTAGGCAACACGACTAAAGACTCTTTACAATGGCGATTCATTCCAACCACTATGAGTCGACTCTTTTATAGATGAATCAAGTTTTAAACAAGATGCACTTTAAAGTTTAAACATCAGCTGGATATTTCACTTCACTTAGAGATGTGTTATAGTTATTTTCAAAAAACCTTAATAGGGGCTCTTTAAGCATCTGGACCCACATAGGTGCAAAACACTAATGTTCTCTTTAAATAACAAATAATAACACTGCACAATTGACTTTATACCATAGACTGTAAATATTATGGACGTAGTATCCATGATGTCACCCATAGGTTTCTGAAGAGCGCAAATAAAGCTACAAATGGGTGTGGCCAACTGTGCTATTGTGCTTGTGCATTAGTCTTGATTTGAACATTTTGATTTGTGTTTTCAGTCTTGATTTGAATGTACCTAATGTTGGAGCACATTTGATTATTTCTGGAAGCTGATTCCAGCAGTGGGGGGGCGCAGTAGCTGAAGCAATTTACCCTACTTTGAATTAACTTAAAATTTCTAATTTACTTGATCCTAATGATCTGAGGGATCTGTTACATTATAGATTTGGGAATGTATCCCTGATCTGTCTAATTAGGGGGTCAAGCGCGAAGCGCTGAAACCCTATTGTTTTTGTTAAGATTTTTATTATTATTATTATTAGGGGGTCAAGCGCAAAGCGCTGAAACCCTATTGTATTTGTAAGGATTTTTAGGGGGTCAAGCGCGAAGCGCTGAAACCCTATTGTTTTTGTTAAAATTTTTATTATTATTATTATTAGGGGGTCAAGCGCGAAGCGCTGAAACCCTATTGTTTTTGTTAAGATTTTTATTATTATTATTATTATTATTATTATTATTATTATTCTGCCGAAGTCACTATTGCCCAGACCAAACCGTAAGGCCGAGAGAGCTGAAACTTGGCCAGATGGTAGTACCCCGGTACACTACGTTCTGGCCAAAGATCAGCCAAATCAGACCATAGGTGGCGCTATGGCGCCAAAAAAACACTTTTTGGACATTATTGGCCGCTATACGTTCACCGTTTGTCGTAGACTCAAAAACTTTACATTTTTTGAATCCTTGGGTTAACCTGAACAAAAGTGTATAGCAGAAATTTTTGCTGTACGACGCACCGTTTTCCTGCTACATCGCGATTTGTCCGAAACCTACTTTTGCGAACTAGTCCTAGGTTTTACACTCAATCTAAACCAAACCAGCTCTCAAATGTTCTCTGGACAGTGAATATCAATAATTATCAAAAAAAAGTTGACATTTTTATTCTCACTCGAAACAGTACACAACAATGTTCGATGCTAATTGAAGCTAAATGCTAATTGGAGCTATAACTTTTGAACGAAAAGAGATATCATCACCAAACTTGGTACACACATGCATAAGCTCAAATTGAGGTGACACTGCAAAACCCGCAGACTTTGGCCACATGGTGGCGCTATAAAGCTAAAAAAACATAAAAATTACTCTAACCTTACAGCCACTAGTCCGATCAGCTTGAAATTTGGCATGCAGGGTCTTTGACCAAGTTGTCATAACATACTATAAGGAGATTGGCATATCTCAAAAAACATGGCCGCCATTGGCCAATTAAAATTGAGCAGCCATTTAACAAGGTTAACGATGAGTGATCGAAACAAAACTCGCTGGGCATGTTCGCCTCACGGTCCTAGAGGTCTGTAAGAATTTTGAAAGAAATCAGCCACTAGGGGGCGATTTTACGTATTTTTAGTGTGTAATGGGTTGTGTATCACACAACCTTTTGCGCAACCACACAAAATACATATCATATGATAGGCCTGCTCATACCGAACAGTTTGACACTCAAACCACTGCTGTCACTTACACCGTTCGTTAAATATTCATCAATATAGGAAAAACCTACTTTTGCGAACTAGTCCCTGGTTTTTCACTCAATCGCGACGAAACCAGTGTTGTTGGAATCTCTGGACTGTGTAGATCAATAATTATCAAAAAAAAGTTGAACTTTTCACTTTGGCTAGCTGTAACAGGCTAATTTACAAAAGGGGCGTGTCCACACGAACCTATATGCCTGTAAACCAATACGGAAAACTCAAAACATCACAGAAATTGGTGAGCACATGTGGCATATCAACGAGATGAAACTTGCAAAATTTTGTGAAGATCAAACCATAGGTGGCGCTATAATAGCAAAAATAGTCTTTAAATAATGCTAAATCGCTTAAAAAAAAAGTAAATTTGCTTCATTTACATACTATTTCACAAAAAACACTTAATCTAAATATCATATGATAGGTCTGCTCATACTGAACAGTTTGACACTAAAACCACTGCTGTTACTCAAACTGTTCATTAAAAAACCAT